AAANATATATATATATATATATATATATATATATATATATATATATATATATTTATATCGTATAGTTTATTATAGTTTATATATAATGATTTAAAGTTTTATTTGACAGTACTCATATCGTGATGAAATGTGAATTTATTATATTATATGTATAATTATAAAATGTGTATGATGTATGATTGTTGGTTGTTGATGATGAACATGGAATGTTATGTTTTGCTTTTAATTAGATTCTCTAGTGAAAGCAACGAAAGTTATAATTGACTATTCAGTCTTATTATATTAAACATTTTAATGATATATACTTTAAAGAATTCAAGTCCCTGAATCTTATATTAACATTTAACTCTGTATGGTTATAATTTATATATCTCTATAATAGTTAACAGAACTTCTTTGCGCATTGCCTCTAGCTATTCATGAGCCAAGTGAGTTCGTTCTCCACCAAATATACTTATCAATATATAATTAAAAAAATGAGTAAATAAATATATATCTATATATTAATGAATAAATGAAACTTATATTTCTCTACTAATATAAGAATGAACTTTGATCATGATATTCATAAAGGATCCGATATAGATTTCCATTTTAATGGTTATTATGTTCATAAAGGATTTTATATATTCCTCCAAAAACAGTGACAAGGCACCAACAGACACAATCACTTCCATTTGTTTGATCATTTATTAACATATAATAGCGACAGATTTATAAAGGATATGGATTTTTATTCCCTCAAAAACTGTGATCATGCACCAACAGACACAATCACTTTTTAACACATAATACCAAAATAAGTTATAAAAGTTGATAATTGTATGTGCTGAATTGATGATTATATTTAATAAAAATATCAGGCAATAATGGATGTGTACTTCATATAATAATGAAGCTACAAATACAAGAAATCGAATGCATGTAGCCTTATCCTAGAATATTAAACTATGGCATATAATTGTGCACGTAGACCACTTATATGTCCATCCAATCACGAATTCAATGTCAGAGTGTATTTAGGGAAATTTTTTGATGAATTCTTTTTTCTGAATAAAGAAATTTTTATTAAAATTTATCCAAAGATAAATATGGGTCCACCTTTTAATACTATTCTGAAATTTAGGAATTAGTTTTCATGCAGTTTTACATTGAACAATTAACGTGATTTTATTTGGGCGAATAGAGTAATTAATTGTGATATCTGTAAGAACTATGAAACGAATACTGGTACACGATCATTTGCTAATAAAATTTGTGTATAATTAGTACTCGCGTATATGTATTATATGCAACTAACAAATAAATACTCATTATGAGTATTATATTATTTGTATCTACGATATTATTATTTGCAAAAAAAACTAAAATTAAAATTTAATTTATATTTTATTAAATTTAATTAAAATTAATTTATATTTTAATAAGTTAAATTCAATTAAAATTAAAATTTAATTTATATTATATTATATTAATTTTTTACTTTATTTAGATTTTTTTAAAATTTATAAAGTATATTTTTTAAAACATTCATGGATATTCATATTATATATATATATATATATATATATATATATATATATATATATATATATATATATATATATATATATATATATATATATATATATATATGTGGATTTTAAAATATCTAGAGATATTTTTTAAATAGATAAATTTTGTCAACAAAAATAAGTCTGAATCATTAATTAAAATTTTAAAACTCGTCAAAAAAGTTCATCAATAATTTAAATTTGTTCATGAATTTATTTTTATTAATAATATTTCATCAATAATTCTAAGAATTGTTGTAGTGTTATTTGAAGTTGGTAAGGAAGTTATTTGTTTGTGGTGTAATTGCATGCTCATGAAAAGTCCTGTTAAAATGGGTTAGAATCCCTGAATCAACTTAATCCATCACGAGTTTGGGTCAGGTTGGATTGAAAAAATCTTGAAATTTCAATAAGAATCAATTTTGAACTCGGCTCATTAAGAACCTGACTCACTAAGAACTCGATTTTCTAAGCACTTGGGTTAGGTGGGCTTACCAACTTACATAATTTTTTTAACAAGTTCATTTTATTGGGTTAGTCATTTTGCAAAATATTTAAATGTAGGCTCAAGTAAAATTATTTTTGTATGGAATAATTAGACAATATGAAAAATCCACAAATCTATACTTAGTAACTCAATTTTTATGTAGAAACAAATTTGAATTGCTATGAAGTCAATAAAAATTTTGTTGAGGAAATTTTGTGATATCGTTGTGTGAATGAAATCTTATGTTTGATTGATTATAAATATAATTTAAGACCATTCCCTTTTATTTAGATTTGAATTAGAAAACTTTTGTTATTTTTTTAATAATAAAAAAAACTTGTAATTAAGTGAGATAACTCGTTTAACCCACTAACCTGTGGTGGGTCAGGTTGGGTTCAATTTTTTCGACTCCTTAATAAGTGAGATGAGTTGGGTTAGCTCACTAAGTAGCCAATCCATGATGGGTCAGGCCAGGTGACCCATTTTGACAACTATTTATGAATAATAATATTATTAGATGTTTTGATAAATGTATAATTCTTGATAGATGTTAGAAACATTGAATGTTGTGTTTTGTAGTTTTAATTGTTATAGGGTATGATATTACTAAAGTGACACGTGATTACTTAGGTGAAATTAAGTTGTATGAAATCATTACACTTATTATTAACATTATACTCATTCAAGCAATATGTTGCGTAGCTGAAGACATAAATTGTACTCAAACGATAAAGACCTAAATAATAATATTTCCTCGAAAAACATATTGTTTAAGTGGTAATTAAGACACTTAAATTAGTGAGTCAAATTTTGTTTTTGAACATTTGAGCTAGAGATAAGGTGGTGTACATGTGTCACTATGTATAATGATTGTGATGTATGGAGTTGGTGTTCAAGCGTTAATGTTTAGGCGATTTTGTCTATAACTTTTCTATTATTCAAGTTATGTTAAGTCTTTTTACTCTAAATACAAAGATGTTCTCTTTTAATTCAAGTACTTCTAAGTTGAAAGTGTTGCAAATATACTCTCCCACTCAAATTAAATTGGTCATAACACAATAATAAATATATAAAACTTACTTTATAAATAATATTTTTAGTAGAGTTGTTAAAATGGGTAACTCGACTCGACCCGACCGGGTCCACCACATGCTGGTCACTTATTGAGCCAACCTAACCTGACTCACCTATTAGTAAGCTGAAAAAATTCGAACCCTGCTTTAACCACCACTGGTTGATGGGTTAAACAGGTTGACTCACTAGCTCATTTAATTATAATTTTTTTTAAAATAAAAAAATTACAATTTTTTTAATTCAAATATAAATAAACGTCACTTTAAAATGATGTTAAACTCCAAAAACAATTCAAAATAAATAAAAAAATATTATACAATCTAAGCGTAATCCAAAAACATATACAAAAGATGAACAAATAAATTTTTAATATTGATAATTTTTGTATCACTTGTCCATTTATAATATTAGAGTTTTGAATAAATAAATCTATAATATTTGATTCTCTTAAAACATCTTTTTCTTTATCACCATCTATAATATAATAAAAAAAATACTAACTTATAATATTGAAAGACAAAATAATAAATAATTAAATTAAATTAGGTGGGTTGGTGCCAACCCAGCTCACCACGAGTTCAACCCGGTGAGCCGGATTCTAAGTGAGCCGAGTTGAAAACTAGCTCACAGAAAAATTACATTTTTTTCAAACCCAAACCGCGAGTTACAATCCATTTTGACAGTATTAATTTTTAGTTTTTTTGTGTGGACTTTTATTTAAATAGATTTTCAAACCTCTTAGGTTTAAAATTTAGTTAACTTGAATTGCATATTAAAAGGAATTTAGGTTTATTTATCTACTACGAGTTAGATTTTTAAAGATTAGTTTTTATTTTTTATTTTTATTTTCGTTTTACCAATGTTTTACTTCAACTAGTTTTATTTATATTTTATTTACTTTTTAAATTAAAGTATTAATTATCTTTCAGAGAACTTGCTTTTGTCAATGTCATGGTCAAATAAACCTTTTTAGTCAGTCAGAAAGTTAGAACTTGGGAATGACATGATTAGACCACTGAATACATATAACTGTAGTTTGAAATTTTAAACATATTTGCAAATTAGTTTTCTAATTAATTCTTGTTGCGTAGATTTTCACATTGAGTCCTTGGAATTTCTAAAACTAACTTATTATTTTGTGATTTTTAAGTTGTTAAAAAGAGCTCTCAAAACTTAAATTTTATTTAATTCAAGGACTCAAATTAAAAAAGAAATAGTTTAACGAGGTAAGTAAAAATATATAAATAGTTCAGATATTTACTAAATTAAGTTAAACCATAAATTTAATTTTTTTATGATAGAATTTAATTAAAAATCATATTCTCTAACATTTTCTAATAAAAAACTGCTGTTGTTTCTTTAAGAATAGTTGAACTAGTTTTTTTTTTTTTAAATATAAAATACTTGAACCATAATTATTTAACTTTTTTACTATATTGACCTAGTTATTATGTTAATAATACCTTAAAATTAATTATTATTATTATTCTTAACGATATTAATAAATATTAAAAGAAATAGCTTTTTCATTAACTTAAACACTAAGTTTAGTTACGAAGAACATTCAAGGTAAACATAAAAAGAAACTGAAAATCTCAATTCACATTGTTAAAACAAGAAATGATGAATAAAAGTACATCACAACAATATAAAAAAATCTAGAAATATAAATAAGCGAATAAGTACAAACGTGCATATGAATGTGTAAAATCCACAAGAAAATGTTGTATTTAAAACAGTAAAGATGAATTACAGTAAATATAAAAAAGAAGTAAATAAAAATATAAAAAAGAATAAGATTAAAGTAATTTATAAAATATGGTGAGAAAGAAGTTATTATGATATTTTAAAATGTGGGAGAATCTCTGAGAAACGTGGACATGGAAACCTGTTGATGGCAGGTGGAGTCATCTTTTTGTAAACTGTATAATTTCAAGTACCCTGGTTCATGATTTTCTCCGCCAGTCTCATTAGTGAGCTCAAACCCTATATATACGCATCATGTTCATCGATTTCCATGTACAAAAACCAGATCGAGGAAATAGCTGTTGTAGAGTACCCACTATAAAAGGAGAGAGAAGAGGGTATTCAGATTGTAGATTACTAGATTGTAGTGTCACTCGCTCACCAGAGTCTAATAGAGAATAGTGCACAACAGTGGAGTGAAGTGACTGGCACATAGAGAGACTTAAAAGAAGTAACGGGAACCCCACTTTTCCATCTTCACTTTCCTGTTTTTTTACCCTTTATTCACTGTACTTACACAGTACAACGTTTATGTCGGTTTGTGTGAGTGTGTGATAAGGGTCTTTCTTTTGGTTCAGAGAGAGAAAGAGGAATGAGAGAAGGAGAAACGTGATGAGAAACGAATATCTCCCTTCTTGCTGGTTCTGGTTTTTCTATCTCTGGTTAGTGTGTTGTGAGTGGAGAAAAACCCTCTCAGCAACAGAATTTTTCCATTTCCTGGAAAAGGAAAACATGATATTTGCTTACCCTTTGTTTCGTTTTTTGTTTTGGAAACAGTGCTTTTACTGTTTTGCCAGATTTGTGTGGATGTGAGATCTTCAATCGTTTTCCCTTCTCTGACTCTCACGAAGACATTGACTACTCTTCCTATTCTCTCTCTCATTCTGCTACTTCTTTAACACAGTTTCTCTTCCGTGATTTCTGCTTCTTCTGACCCTTTGTTTTTTTTTTCTTTTTTCAATTTTCTAGCTGTTTATTTCTCCTGTCCAGTTAAAGTTATATGGAACTCATTCTGTGTTCTAAGTCATATCTCTTCTCACCCTTTTCTTTGTCGATTTGGTTCCTTTTCTCCTTTAGCAGTTGTGGCTCTGATACTGTTCTTTGGTCGAAGCTTTTGTTTCTTTGGGTTCACCTTGCGGGAAGAACCGGAGAAGTATTTAAGTGAAAGATGCAGTTAGTTTGGTTGTTTCATGTTGTTGCTTAACGAAATCGACCCTTTGATTTTTGTGCTTATGAATATTACATTACATGCTCCTGTGTGATTTGATCATACTAATTACTACATTAGAGTTTTTCTGCTGTGTCCGATCATGATCTTTGTATGCAGTGTCTTTATCGGTGTATCTATTGTTCATCTGTTTTTTGCATGATATTCAAAGGGTTAGAAAAAGGACACTATTCTAGTATGATGAAGGAAAAATATTTTGAGTACTTTGAGACTTTTAGGTCCTAGGGTTAGGGTTCTTGTAAAAGAAATGTGTTTTAATATCTTGGAAGCCGATTTCTCTGAAGTTGTGGTATGATGTCGATTAACTTTACATTCCTTGGCAGTCTGCATGCTAGTTAAAGATGATTCTAAATTTGTAATCCTTAATTAATCATTGTTAAGTCTTTGAGTGCTTGACAGAAAATGATTCCTTCTTTCTGAAAAAGTATACCAGGTTTAGTCATACCCATGAATACTACTTAAAGGTTGCCATAGTATTCAGATTTTGTCACTGTATCTNTATATATATATATATATATATGGATTTTAAAATATCTAGAGATATTTTTTAAATAGATAAATTTTGTCAACAAAAATAAGTCTGAATCATTAATTAAAATTTTAAAACTCGTCAAAAAAGTTCATCAATAATTTAAATTTGTTCATGAATTTATTTTTATTAATAATATTTCATCAATAATTCTAAGAATTGTTGTAGTGTTATGTGAAGTTGGAAAGGAAGTTATTTGTTTGTGGTGTAATTGCATGCTCAAGAAAAGTCCTGTTAAAATGGGTTAGAATCCCTGAATCAACTTAATCCATCACGAGTTTGGGTCAGGTTGGATTGAAAAAATCTTGAAATTTCAATAAGAATCAATTTTGAACTCGGCTCATTAAGAACCTGACTCACTAAGAACTCGATTTACTAAGCACTTGGGTTAGGTGGGCTTACCAACTTACATAATTTTTTTAACAAGTTCATTTTATTGGGTTAGTCATTTTGCAAAATATTTAAATGTAGGCTCAAGTAAAATTATTTTTGTATGGAATAATTAGACAATATGAAAAATCCACAAATCTATACTTAGTAACTCAATTTTTATGTAGAAACAAATTTGAATTGCTATGAAGTCAATAAAAATTTTGTTGAGGAAATTTTGTGATATCGTTGTGTGAATGAAATCTTATGTTTGATTGATTATAAATATAATTTAAGACCATTCCCTTTTATTTAGATTTGAATTAGAAAACTTTTGTTATTTTTTTAATAATAAAAAAAACTTGTAATTAAGTGAGATAACTCGTTTAACCCACTAACCTGTGGTGGGTCAGGTTGGGTTCAATTTTTTCGACTCCTTAATAAGTGAGATGAGTTGGGTTAGCTCACTAAGTAGCCAATCCATGATGGGTCAGGCCAGGTGACCCATTTTGACAACTATTTATGAATAATAATATTATTAGATGTTTTGATAAATGTATAATTCTTGATAGATGTTAGAAACATTGAATGTTGTGTTTTGTAGTTTTAATTGTTATAGGGTATGATATTACTAAAGTGACACGTGATTACTTAGGTGAAATTAAGTTGTATGAAATCATTACACTTATTATTAACATTATACTCATTCAAGCAATATGTTGCGTAGCTGAAGACATAAATTGTACTCAAACGATAAAGACCTAAATAATAATATTTCCTCGAAAAACATATTGTTTAAGTGGTAATTAAGACACTTAAATTAGTGAGTCAAATTTTGTTTTTGAACATTTGAGCTAGAGATAAGGTGGTGTACATGTGTCACTATGTATAATGATTGTGATGTATGGAGTTGGTGTTCAAGCGTTAATGTTTAGGCGATTTTGTCTATAACTTTTCTATTATTCAAGTTATGTTAAGTCTTTTTACTCTAAATACAAAGATGTTCTCTTTTAATTCAAGTACTTCTAAGTTGAAAGTGTTGCAAATATACTCTCCCACTCAAATTAAATTGGTCATAACACAATAATAAATATATAAAACTTACTTTATAAATAATATTTTTAGTAGAGTTGTTAAAATGGGTAACTCGACTCGACCCGACCGGGTCCACCACATGCTGGTCACTTATTGAGCCAACCTAACCTGACTCACCTATTAGTAAGCTGAAAAAATTCGAACCCTGCTTTAACCACCACTGGTTGATGGGTTAAACAGGTTGACTCACTAGCTCATTTAATTATAATTTTTTTTAAAATAAAAAAATTACAATTTTTTTAATTCAAATATAAATAAACGTCACTTTAAAATGATGTTAAACTCCAAAAACAATTCAAAATAAATAAAAAAATATTATACAATCTAAGCGTAATCCAAAAACATATACAAAAGATGAACAAATAAATTTTTAATATTGATAATTTTTGTATCACTTGTCCATTTATAATATTAGAGTTTTGAATAAATAAATCTATAATATTTGATTCTCTTAAAACATCTTTTTCTTTATCACCATCTATAATATAATAAAAAAAATACTAACTTATAATATTGAAAGACAAAATAATAAATAATTAAATTAAATTAGGTGGGTTGGTGCCAACCCAGCTCACCACGAGTTCAACCCGGTGAGCCGGATTCTAAGTGAGCCGAGTTGAAAACTAGCTCACAGAAAAATTACATTTTTTTCAAACCCAAACCGCGAGTTACAATCCATTTTGACAGTATTAATTTTTAGTTTTTTTGTGTGGACTTTTATTTAAATAGATTTTCAAACCTCTTAGGTTTAAAATTTAGTTAACTTGAATTGCATATTAAAAGGAATTTAGGTTTATTTATCTACTACGAGTTAGATTTTTAAAGATTAGTTTTTATTTTTTATTTTTATTTTCGTTTTACCAATGTTTTACTTCAACTAGTTTTATTTATATTTTATTTACTTTTTAAATTAAAGTATTAATTATCTTTCAGAGAACTTGCTTTTGTCAATGTCATGGTCAAATAAACCTTTTTAGTCAGTCAGAAAGTTAGAACTTGGGAATGACATGATTAGACCACTGAATACATATAACTGTAGTTTGAAATTTTAAACATATTTGCAAATTAGTTTTCTAATTAATTCTTGTTGCGTAGATTTTCACATTGAGTCCTTGGAATTTCTAAAACTAACTTATTATTTTGTGATTTTTAAGTTGTTAAAAAGAGCTCTCAAAACTTAAATTTTATTTAATTCAAGGACTCAAATTAAAAAAGAAATAGTTTAACGAGGTAAGTAAAAATATATAAATAGTTCAGATATTTACTAAATTAAGTTAAACCATAAATTTAATTTTTTTTATGATAGAATTTAATTAAAAATCATATTCTCTAACATTTTCTAATAAAAAACTGCTGTTGTTTCTTTAAGAATAGTTGAACTAGTTTTTTTTTTTTTAAATATAAAATACTTGAACCATAATTATTTAACTTTTTTACTATATTGACCTAGTTATTATGTTAATAATACCTTAAAATTAATTATTATTATTATTCTTAACGATATTAATAAATATTAAAAGAAATAGCTTTTTCATTAACTTAAACACTAAGTTTAGTTACGAAGAACATTCAAGGTAAACATAAAAAGAAACTGAAAATCTCAATTCACATTGTTAAAACAAGAAATGATGAATAAAAGTACATCACAACAATATAAAAAAATCTAGAAATATAAATAAGCGAATAAGTACAAACGTGCATATGAATGTGTAAAATCCACAAGAAAATGTTGTATTTAAAACAGTAAAGATGAATTACAGTAAATATAAAAAAGAAGTAAATTAAAATATAAAAAAGAATAAGATTAAAGTAATTTATAAAATATGGTGAGAAAGAAGTTATTATGATATTTTAAAATGTGGGAGAATCTCTGAGAAACGTGGACATGGAAACCTGTTGATGGCAGGTGGAGTCATCTTTTTGTAAACTGTATAATTTCAAGTACCCTGGTTCATGATTTTCTCCGCCAGTCTCATTAGTGAGCTCAAACCCTATATATACGCATCATGTTCATCGATTTCCATGTACAAAAACCAGATCGAGGAAATAGCTGTTGTAGAGTACCCACTATAAAAGGAGAGAGAAGAGGGTATTCAGATTGTAGATTACTAGATTGTAGTGTCACTCGCTCACCAGAGTCTAATAGAGAATAGTGCACAACAGTGGAGTGAAGTGACTGGCACATAGAGAGACTTAAAAGAAGTAACGGGAACCCCACTTTTCCATCTTCACTTTCCTGTTTTTTTACCCTTTATTCACTGTACTTACACAGTACAACGTTTATGTCGGTTTGTGTGAGTGTGTGATAAGGGTCTTTCTTTTGGTTCAGAGAGAGAAAGAGGAATGAGAGAAGGAGAAACGTGATGAGAAACGAATATCTCCCTTCTTGCTGGTTCTGGTTTTTCTATCTCTGGTTAGTGTGTTGTGAGTGGAGAAAAACCCTCTCAGCAACAGAATTTTTCCATTTCCTGGAAAAGGAAAATATGATATTTGCTTACCCTTTGTTTCGTTTTTTGTTTTGGAAACAGTGCTTTTACTGTTTTGCCAGATTTGTGTGGATGTGAGATCTTCAATTGTTTTCCCTTCTCTGACTCTCACGAAGACATTGACTACTCTTCCTATTCTCTCTCTCATTCTGCTACTTCTTTAACACAGTTTCTCTTCCGTGATTTCTGCTTCTTCTGACCCTTTGTTTTTTTTTTCTTTTTTCAATTTTCTAGCTGTTTATTTCTCCTGTCCAGTTAAAGTTATATGGAACTCATTCTGTGTTCTAAGTCATATCTCTTCTCACCCTTTTCTTTGTCGATTTGGTTCCTTT